AAAGAAACTTTTTGCCCATTTGTCTCCGCTTGCACTGGGATCGAACCCGGAACCTCAGGACTACGAATCCGAAGCGCTGTCCAATCAGCTGTCAGGCGCCCTTAAGTAGAGTATACGTCAAAATGCGACGTTCTATCAGGTGGACGGGTTGATCTGAGGGGAACTGAATGTTGGTTGGTTGTTGACACCAACATTATTAGCACCAAGAATTGGTGTCAACATTATTGACACCAAGAATTGGTGTCAACATTATTGACACCAAGAATTGGTGTCAACATTATTGACACCAAGAATTGGTGTCAACATTATTGACACCAAGAATTGGTGTCAACATTATTGACACCAAGAATTGGTGTCAACATTATTGACACCAAGAATTGGTGTCAACATTATTGACACCAAGAATTATTAGCATATATGTTAATAATTCTAGAACACTACTCTCTGCTGATTAATAATTTCCCACCGTTTTTGACTGGTCTTGGCTAATATTTAACTCATTAAACTGGCCTTTCGAGACTTATTTCCAGACTCTTAGATATAAAAGTCTTATTTCCAGAGTCCAGTTATTTCTTTAGGTAACAATTGACACTAAGAGCTACGCTAGCACTCGTTCTTGAACACCAACACTTCACTCCGTTGACTGCCACTAAGTGACAGTATTATGAGTGGCAGTATTGAACTCATAAGGCCAAAGTGACGTTAGTTTGATGCTCCAGCACAGCGTCAACACTTCATATGTTAGTCGGCCACTTTACAATGCTATCTTGAGGTTATCTTGAGATGATTTCGGGGCTTTAGTGTCCCCGCGGCCCGGTCCTCGACCAGGCCTCCACCCCAGGAAGCAGCCCGTGACAGCTGACTAACACCCAGGTACCTATTTTACTGCTAGGTAACAGGGGCATAGGGTGAAAGAAACTCTGCCTATGGTTTCTCGCCGGCGCCCGGGATCGAACCCAGGACCACAGGATCACAAGTACAGCGTGCTGTCCGCTCGGCCGACCGGCTCCCTAGCAATACTTTTAGAGTCCCATGAAATCGGACTCTAAATTAGGATCCTTAAATCTCACCATGTGAAATGTGTCGCGTGATCTCTCGGCCACAACAAGAAAATAATTGTTAAATATGTTGACCAGACCACACACTAGAAAGTGAAGGGACGACGACGTTTAACCATTCTCACAATCGACTTGAGAACGGTCCCAGGACGGACCGAAACGTCGTCGTCCCTTCACCTTCTAGTGTGTGGTCTGGTCAACATACTTCAGCCACGTTATTGTGACTCCTCGTCTGGGAGATTTGTTAAACAGTTTGACTTGAACTGAATGATAAACTGTACACTGTATTCGTAATACATTTCTGACGGTTAAGCTTTATTAGATCATTTATTAACTGTATTATTGACTTCACTTGCCATTCAAAATATTATTTGTTTACAACTCTTGTAAAAGTTACATTAAGCAGTTATATGTTGGTTTAGGGACACTATAAATACTAGTTTTAAATCCTCTAAATTAGGTTTTTTGGTTAAATAGAAGTTTAGACGTATTCACGTCTGACGGCCACTAACCTGAGGGTAGTGGCCACAACGAGGACAGGAAGCCGGCGGCTTGTAGAAGGTCCCTCCGTTATATGTTATTAGTTTTGTAGGGTTAATTTGAGTTAAACTAAGTAGGTTAGCTTGGTTATATCGTTTAGGATGAGTTTGGCATGATTAGGGTGGATTGAGTTAAACAGTTAAACTGGGTAGTTTTAAGATAGTTAATGTACAAATTAACCCGTATACTTAAGTATACACCAAAAATATTGATATTGCATCGTATAGTCACGTTCTCTCTGACGAAGTGAAACATAGAAAACGGACCAGCTCTCATCTGTAACTTAGCCATATTTTCTATGCAATGTCATTCACGTATACAAAAACGGCGCCATTCATTGTAGTAATGAACTTGTAGAAAGTGAACGCAGTTTTCTTATTGTATAAAAGTAATCGTGCTACGTCAGTTCTACTCTTTAAACAAACCTAACCTATCCTGACCTATCCAAACCTAACATAAGTTCGGGGTTCGAATTCTGGACGGGACAGAAATGGTTGGGCACATTTTCTTTAAGGGACCTGCCCGAAACGCTGCGCGGACTAGTGGATTTACAAGAATTTTATTACTATGCTATGTATCCTCACAATCCCAATGTACCTTCTTGTATATATAAGTAAATAAATAAATAAGAAAAGTTTACTTTTAATTTACTATTCATACCACGTGGGGGTGTATATGACTGTTTAGTTTATAGAGTTAAGAAGTGCCTCTGCTAGTGAGACAATAGTGTGTGTGGACTCATTATATCAGAGACCAACACCAAGGTTATCTTGAGATGATTTCGGGGCTTTAGTGTCCCCGCGGCCCGGTCCTCGACCAGGCCTCCACCCCCAGGAAGCAGCCCGTGACAGCTGACTAACTCCCAGGTACCTATTTACTGCTAGGTAACAGGGGCATTCAGGGTGAAAGAAACTTTGCCCATTTGTTTCTGCCTAGTGCGGGAATCGAACCCGCGCCACAGAATTACGAGTCCTGCGCGCTATCCACCAGGCTACGAGGCCCCATGTGCTTGACCCGTGCTTTACACACTCTTCTTGAAGGGTCTTGGAACCTTGGAAGGGTCTCAGTAGTACAGTCGGGTTCGTTCTCGACGCACAATCGAGAATTCCGGGTTCGAATTCTGGACGGGACAGAAATGGTTGGGCACATTTCCTTTCACCTAATGCGCCTGTTCACCTAGCAGGGCGTAGGTATTCAGGAGTTAGTCAGCATGTTGTTGGGTTGTATTCTGGGCGGGGTCAGTAATTGTGCCCCGACACAATGAATAATATGGTTATTAAACCTATTATTTTCAATGTCAGTGGAACAGGAACTTTGGAGCCTGGTGATTCGTACAAGTATAGATTGCAATTGGAATACAGTCTCCAATACAATGCAATTGTAGTCTCCGTGGTGTGGTGGTAAGACACTCGCCTGGCGTTCCGCGAGCGCTATGTCATGGGTTCGTATCCTGGCCGGGGAGGATTTACTGGGCCTCTGTAGCCTCTGTTTAACGCAACAGTAAAATGTGTACTTGGCTGTAACAACGATTCATCGCGGCAGGGATCGTATTCCAGGGACCTGCCCGAAACGCTACGCGTACTAGTGGCTCTACAAGAATGTAACAACTCTTGTATATATCTAAAAAAAAAAAAGAATAAACGAGCGAATCGTAGCCGTCGACAATTGGTAGCGATAGTTCTGACATTGTTGTAATCGAACCATATCTTGAGGTTATCTTGAGGTGATTTCGGGGCTTTTTAGTGTCCCCGCGGCCCGGTCCTCAACCAGGCCTCCACCCCCAGGAAGCAGCCCGTGACAGCTGACTAACACCCAGGTACCTATTTTACTGCTAGGTAACAGGGGCATAGGGTGAAAAAAACTCTGCCCATAGTTTCTCGCCGGCGCCTGGGATCGAACCCAGGGCCACAGGATCACAAGCCCAGCGTGCTGTCCGCTCGGCCGACCGGTTCCCATCTGTCTTGAGTATGTTTGTACAGATGGTGCTTATTTTTATCGTTGTCTCCATCTGATAAGTGTGATCAGCTGTACGTTCTTGAAGGGCTCTTCCTTCCCCCACTCACAGTCGGGGAATCCCGAGCGGCACAGATGTGGTTTGGCACGTTTCCTTTCACCTAATGCGTCTGTTCACCTAGCAGTAAATCTTTTAATTCAAATGGCTTCTTAGTGAAGACAACGATGTAATTCTCATTAACTATGTATATGAATAGTCTTTATTTTAAATATTATTTATTCTGTATTATTAAAATTATTTTTACTATTTTTTATATGTTTTATTTGTTTGTTTGTTTGTAAGAACTGGTGTATATATATTCTTGTACAGCCACTAGCGCACATAGCGTTTCGGGGAAGTCTAAGGTCTTACTATTTTGAATCTATTAGAATTATTAATAGAATAGAATTAACTAAACTATTATCTAAATTATCTATTATCTACAGTCTCCGTGGTGTAGTGGTAAGACACTCGCCTGGCGTTCCGCGAGCGCTATGTCATGGGTTCGTATCCTGGCCGGGGAGGATTTACTGGGCGCAATTCCTTAACTGTAGCCTCTGTTTAACGCAACAGTAAAATGTGTACTTGGATGAAAAAACGATTCTTCGCGGCGGGGATCGTATTCCAGGGACCTGCCCGAAACGCTACGCGTACTAGTGGCTGTACAAGAATGTAACAACTCTTGTATATATCTCAAAAAAAAAAAAAAAAAAAAAAAAAAAAAAAAAAAAAAAAAAATAGAATCCTATTTTTCCTCGGAATATGACTCCGCCAAATCGTTTAAAGACCAGGTACCCATTTTACTGTTGGGTACACAGAGGCTACAGTTAAGGTTTATATATCATTATTATATAGTGTTATTCTTGTCGAAGGTCAAGGAAAGTCCCAAATATATGTTTTAAGTGTATTAAAAACCTAATTTTCGGATGACCTACATCGGAAAATTTGGGTTTTAATGCGCATAAATTGGGTCTTTCCTTCATCTAATTTATTTAAGCAATGCGGCAGTGTTGTAGTCCGTTGTTGTTGTTGTTGTTGTTGTTGTTGTTGTTGTTATTATTATTATTATTATTATTATTATTATTATTATTATTATTATTATTATTATTATTATTATTATTATTATTATTATTATTATTATTATACCCCAAACGCTGCGTGTACTAGTGACTTTACAAGATTGTAAATTACCAACCTATGTATTCTCACAAACCCAATGTACCTTCTTGTATATAAATAAATAAATAAATAAATAAATAAATTATTATTATAAAGGGTATTTGGGCAGGAAAAAATAAGGTTTGAGTCACAGGAGATATCAACCTCTTGGCTCATGTTACCGAAAAACTTTATTCCAATGTCATGTATCCATCAGTCTCACGTTCTGTCTCTCTCTCTCTCCCACACAGCTTCGACGTTGAAAATGGCACTTCTCCAGGCCGAAGCCCACTGGACGGCACCTCGCCCTCGGCGGGCCTGGTGCTCCAGAACTTCCCACAGCGACGGGAGAGCTTCCTCTACAGGAGCGACTCCGACTTTGAGATGTCCCCCAAGAGCATGTCCCGGAACTCCTCCATCGCTTCCGAGGGGTAAGTAATCCACTGTTGACGGGGGAGTTGGTGGGCTGTTGTGTTGCTGCTATACATTATAGGAGGTTGGTAAGTGTTTAGTTGCTGGAGGGTGGTTGTCTTGGTGGTGGTAGCTATGGTGGTGGTGGTGGTTGTGGTGATTGTAGTGGTGGTTGTGGTGATGGTGGGTGTGGTGGTGGTGATGGTGGGTGTGATGATGATGGTTGTGGTGGTGGTGATGGTGGTTGTGGTGGTGGTGATGGTGGTTGTGATGGTGGTGGGTGTGGTGATGGTGGGTGTGGTGATGGTGGGTGTGGTGATGGTGGTTGTGGTGACGGTGGTTGTGATGGGGGTGGTGATGGTGACGGTGGTTGTGATGGTGGTGGTTGTGGTGACAGTGGTTGTAATCACTGTGGTTGTGGTAATGGTGGTTGTGGTGATGGTGGTTGTGGTGACGTTGGTTGTGGTGACGGTGATTGTGATCACTGTGGTTGTGATCACAGTGGTTGTGGTGACAGTGGTTGTGTCTACGTAGCAACGTCTCTACAAGAGCAGGGTAAAAGTTCCCTACTGGAGGAAGAGTTGTGGTGGTGGTGGTAGCAATTGTTGTTGCGTATAGATCATAACCAGGGCTGTGCTAGTGCTTTGTTGTGGCGGAGGTTGTAAGTTGTATGTAGTTGTTGTTTTTGTAGTTGTGGTGATGGCCGTGTTATTAGTGGGAGTGCTATCATGTATAAAAGTTATTATCGTAAACAACTCCTCCGTGCAGCAGGAGTTGTACAAAGATGTACAGATGGAAATGTACAAATGTACAGAGTTGTACAGAATGTATATACAGATCCAGCTTGTCAAGCTGGATCAATAGAATAGTTTTGAAGTATTAGAGACTGGCAAGATTACAGTCAGTAACACAGGGAAAGTGGAGAAGTATTGACTGTAGATTAGAACGCAGCGAGAGTGACACAGAATGGAACACAGAATGGAACAAATATTCCAGAATGGAACAAATATTCCAGAATGGAACAAATATTCCAGAATGGAACAAATATTCCAGAATGGAACAAATATTCCAGAATGGAACAAATATTCCAGAATGGAACAAATATTCCAGAATGGAACAAATATTCCAGAATGGAACAAATATTCCAGAATGGAACAAATATTCCAGGGCAAGAAGAGGAGTGAACATTCAAGTAAGGATTGTTGCTGTCTAAGATTCAGCTACTTGGAACAAAAAGTTCCAAGTAGCTCGGGCTATGGTGAGCCCGTAGTGGACTTAACCTGGCACAGGAGCGGGGCTGTAACTGCCTTTCAAGTAAGGAATGGCGGTGTGTATACATAACTGAAAAGTGAGGCGCCGCTCCTAGCCTATCGAGGAGGGAGATTGCAACCCGTTCTCGCACTTGCTTATAGTCAATATTGGCTTATTTAATAAGTGCATATGTGACATACTAATTGATTGTGAATATTTTAGTTTACCTTGAAAAGCTTCATAGAAAACACCGACCTCACCTAACCTTCTTAGTATGTTAAGATAAGCATCTTAGTGCTTCTTAATTACAATTATTACTTAACCTATACTGTTGATAGGTTAAGTAATAATTGTAAATAAGAAACAATAAGATGCTTATCTTAACATACTAAGAAGGTTAGGTGAGGTCGGTGTTTTCTATGAAGCTTTTCAAGGTAAACTAAAATATTCACAATCAATTAGTATGTCACATATGCACTTATTAAATAAGCCAATATTGACTAGAAACAAGTGCGAGAACGGGTTGGCAGAGATTGTTATGTAATTAAGCTCCTATATAAACATTTCATGTGTCCAGGCTGGTTCACATCCTGCACCTGGTCGGGTGAGGGTCCTCACCAGGGGCCAGATTCACGAAGCAGTTACCCAAGCACTTACGAACCTGTACATCTCTTCTCAATCTTTGACGGCTTTGTTTACAATTATTAAACAGTTAATGAGCTCCGAAGCACCAGGAGGCTGTTTATAACAATAACAACAGTTGATTGGGAAGTTTTCATGCTTTTAAACTGTTTAATAAATGTAACCAAAGCCGTCAAAGATTGAGGAAAGATGTACACGTTCGTAAGTGCTTGCGTAAGTGCTTTCGTGAATCTCGAGCCAGCTCTTGTAGGCTGAGGACGATTTACGACTAGGAAATTATAGGAGTTTGAAAGAGGAGGGAACATTTTAGATTACGCTTCTCTCACTTTATTTCCGGGTGACAGAATTATTTAGTTTGCTCTTTTTCTTGATTTGCAGTTGATGGATTCATTAGTTTGCAGATGTTGAATATTGTAAGGCTATAATTGCTGATACTTTTTAGTTTGTCTCAAACATTGCAATATGAATTGAATCCATTGCTATGCTGTTGCTCTAAATTTTTTTTTTGTTTCTTGAATTTCTTTGTGGTCATCCCAGAAATCAATAAGTACTTGATGGAAGCTTTAAACGTATGCACTTGAAAATTGTATACATGTTGAAATATACATATTAGTTACAAGGGCACTGGAAAATATAGATGAATGTGAGAGTATTTGAAAACTATAGAATGTCATTTAACTTTTGTCAAACAGAATAACAACACCGAAGAGATTTAGTTTAGGCCTAATGGCCTTGTTTGACTATGCGGATTATAGATATTGTTTATGTAAATAATTATGTAATTAGTAATTGCTGATTATGAGGAGAAAGCGCTAAGCCAGTAAATAGTGATTTGTTACTGATTATAATTAACAATAATACTACAATTACTAATAATAAATAAAGAATAATATATAACAAATGTAATGCATTAAAATATTAATTAAGAGCTCCTATAATTATAGCTGACCATGTAAATGTTAACTGTCTTGCTCAGGCGAAGATTCACATTGTTAATCTCTCAATTGTTAAGTAAACATGATTAAAGTAAGAAAAGATTGAAATTACTTGAGACTTCTGGAGTCGTGTTAATCTTTAAATATCAACTAAAAATATTCTGATAATGATTTAATTTATTAAGTGTTTGATATTAAATATATTTGCATTATAGTTTTTCATCCGCATATAATATGATTCAGACAGCCAGTCATTATGACGTAGGGAAAGGAGTGAGAAGAGACATAAAGGATGTGTATGAATGACAATGCCAGCGGGTTTTCTTCCTATTGGGGAGTGTTGTACATGCTGCTATGGCGGTATGTCGACTCACAAGATGAGCGACGCTGCCCAATACTGTCACTATGGCGGTGTGTCGACTCACAAGATGAGTGGCGCTGCCCAATACTGTCACTATGGCGGTGTGTCGACTCACAAGATGAGCGACGCTGCCCAATACTGTCACTATGGCGGTGTGTCGACTCACAAGATGAGTGGCGCTGCCCAATAAACTCGCCCCTCGCGTCAAAATTTAAAATTAAAAAAAAAAAATGTATAGTTCCCGAAGTGGCCGCGTAGGTGTCGCCCTATCTGCTTTGTTTACTATCTTGGTGTTTTGGCGGTAAATGTCGGACTGACTCAGCGGTAGTGATGCACGGGGCCCCGGGTCATAAACATGCTAACTCTCACACGCGCCTTTGGTCCAAAAGTGCTTGACTTTTCAATATGTATTTCGACCGAATCGCGTTGTGAAGTTAACTGCTTCTCACCCCCGAACCCAGTTCTTTGTTTATCTTGGTTGTTGTCACTTTGATTTATTGCTATCGAAAGGTTGTTGTTCTTTGTAGTTTGTAGTTTCTTTCATGTCAATCACAATGGATATTTTGTACTTTACGTGTATGTGTGTGTATGTGTTTATATATATTATATATATATATATATATATATATATATATATATATATATATATATATATATATATATATATATGTCGTACCTAGTAGCCAGAATGCACTTCTCAGCCTACTATGCAAGGCCCGATTTGCCTAATAAGCCAAGTTTTCATGAATTTATTGTTTTTCGACTACCTAACCTAACCTAACTTTTTCGGCTACCTAACCTAACCTAACCTATAAAGATAGGTTAGGTTAGGTTAGGTAGGGTTGGTTAGGTTAGGTCATACATCTACGTTATTTTTAACTCCAATAAAAAAAATTGACCTCATACATAATGAAATGGGTAGCTTTATCATTTCATAAGAAAAAAATTAGAGAAAATATATTAATTCAGGAAAACTTGGCTTATTAGGCAAATCCGTCCTTGCATAGTAGGCTGAGAAGTGCGTTCTGGCTACTAGGTACGACATATATATATATATATATATATATATATATATATATATATATATATATATATATATATATATATATATATATATATATATATATATATTAAAATAAAAGGTGGTGTTTGTGTGACTTTTTTTTCTTTAGTTTTAGTACCTGAAGTGTTGTATATATGAAAATATATTATCATTTATCTTAAAAGGAAAATTTTCCTATCTTAAGATCATTGTGCATTTTGCATTGCTTTTTCAGGAGTGCACTCTTACTTAGCCTACTTAATGGTAGCTTTTGTTATGTTAGTGGTTTAGTGGCTTTAATGGAACTGTGGATATTTCCCTACCCTTTCTTTTTTTTATCTTTCTCCTGCATACTGTGTTCAAGGCGACGGAGGAGTTGATGGTGGTGGCGGCTAACTGTGTGAATATTTCCAGGTCTCGGGTTATGTTGGCCACACTAAGCGAGTCTCGCGGGGCCAATGACGACAAGCCGATGTGAGTCTTGTCTTCTGTCCTTCTCGCTCCCTTTGCCCTCATATAGCTCGGCACCTCCGCTCTCCCCTACACCCACGCACACTGCTTTCTCCACGACACTCCCACCCTGCTTCCTCTCCCCTCTCTGCTTCCTCTCCCCTCTCTGCTTCCTCTCCCCTCTCTGCTTCCTCGCCCTGTCTGCTTCCTCGCCATGTCTGCTTCCTCTGCCTGTCTGCTTCCTCGCCCTGTCTGCTTCCTCGCCCTGTCTGCACGGCTTCAGCCAATACCAGCCACGTCTCCTCGGCTACATATCTGCATGGTTGAGAGCAGGGAAATGGGATGTTGGGGAGGTTTTAAGATGCGTCTTGTTTAAGGCGCCAGGAGGAGGAGGCGGCGGCTTGTGTTGGGTGTAGATGTGGGAGGGAACTGTAAGATGATCCAGTTATAGACTACAGGCTGTGTAGAGTAGGATTCGCTCTATATAAACTGCTTAGCCTGAGTGTAACCGCGCCTGCTTGCAGTAGACTGTAGTGTGTGTGCATGAGGGTCAGACTCGCTACATCTCAGGGAGGCTGGTGTGGCCTCACGGGCCACGTTTGGAGTGTGAGTATTGATCTGAGGTGTTGAGTGAGGATCAGATTCGTTCTGTCTGTGATCAGATTCCCTCTTACTGCTCTTCATCCCACAGCACCTGTTCCACGAAGCCAGTTTCTAATGACTCTCCTTCCACAGTTAATTATTAGCGAGACTAAATAACATGCTAACGACTCTCCGATAAGTTTTGTTCACTAATTGTAATGATTGAAAGTAGATCACGAAGCTTTGCGTCCACGTTGCGTATTCCTAATTCTGTTGTTGTTGTTTTAGATTCTGCAACTATGAACGAAGTGTCCATGTAGCACGGGCTATGGTGAGCCCGTAATTGCTAATCCGTAGGTAAATATGAAGGTCCTAAACCCTATAAATGTACTTCTTATATTATTATTAGACTGCACTTGTTTACATGATGACACGTATCACTGACGAGGAGTAACTTACAGCGCTGGAACCCTCACGTGTATTTACAACCATGTCCTGTAAAGTAGACCATGTCGTGTTCACTGAAAATGATTTAACTGCTAAATGAGCTTTTTTGATACATTTAATTGCAATTATAAAATTAACAAATAATCTTCGATAATATATATTTTTAAATGCATATATGGTATGATCAATTATAATGAAGGTGCCGACAATATTGGTTTTCTGACGAGTGAAAAAGCACGGTCTCAATTATGCCTTAGTCCCCCCGGTAACGTTTTCTGTAATGGTCCGCTTATATCAAATTCTCGAATCAACATTTTAATTTTTAAATAAGCTGAGCATAAAGTACTGCTTCTTTTTATTAATATATATACAACAGCAGGACATTTTTCACAGTCCATATTATTCTATTTATTTATAAGGAGTGACAAAAAATTTGGGAGAAGTACAGAAAAGTCATCTGGACTTCAGGTAGACTGGCCCGACAGCCGTGAGAGACTTCGGGCAGGTGGTTTGTTTAGTAAATGCTGTATTACCTGTACCCTGCCACACGCCTGTACCCTGCCACACGCCTGTACCCTGCCACACGCTGTACCCTGCCACACGCCTGTACCCTACCACACGGCTGTACCCTGTCTCACGGCTGTACCCTGTCTCACGGCTGTACCCTGTCTCACGGCTGTACCATGTCTCACGGCTGTACCCTGCCACACGCCTGTACCCTGTCTCACGGCTGTACCCTGCCACACGCCTGTACCCTGTCTCACGGCTGTACCCTGTCTCACGGCTGTACCCTGTCTCACGGCTGTACCCTGCCACACGCCTGTACCCTGTCTCACGCTTGTACCCTGCCACACACCTGTACCCTGTCACACGCTTGTTTAAGTTGCTAAAGATTCGCTACCTGGAACAAAAAGTTCCAGGTAGCACGGGCTATGGTGAGCCCGTAGTTTCCTCTCACACGCCTGTGGCCTCCCTCACACGTGTAACTGTCTCACGCCTGTACCCTACACCTGTACCCTATTCAATTTCCCTAGGCCTTGGCTCCCCTCTTCCCTAGCCTGTAGCTGGCAGCTCCAACCAGCCACTGTTTCTCTTGGGCTGTGTTGGGCTGTGCTTAAACACTCATTCTGCAACCCGTCCTCTTAAAAATCACGTCGCTTTTCGCTCGTATGCGCGCTATGACCAAAAGTGGACGTAATATGAAATGAAATCGACTCACAAAAGTGATGTACTGTCCCGTTTTCTGTTTGAGTCGTCCGGCCTACTCGGAAAGGTTAAGAGAGGAAACTTTCAATTAATGTTTTTCATTAAGTTTTGAAACTTTATGAGAATTTCCTGCCCACCTAACCTACCAGAGGACCCTTAACTTACTGTTGTTAAAAAAAAAATCCCAAATTTATTTTCATTTTCAAACCACATCCACTTTCGGCCATACGGGTAAACGGCCAAAAGCGACGTTATTTTTAAGAGGACAGAGTGCACATTAGCCCCGCATTAGACACTTGAGACCACGCTGCCCTTACATTGCACTTACAAGTGCAACACACCGCACTTGCACCCTGGAGAGACAACTTAACAAATGCTTTCGACTGCAAGTTTGGCTCATGCTAAAGGGGAGTTACAGGTCACTCCCTGTGTTGACACCATCGATAGTGTCCGGAGAGCTGACTGTACTACAATTAATTTAGTCTCTAGCTGTATAGTTCTGATTAATTAAGGCACATGTGTGAATAAATTACCATAGATGGTAACTGCTTGGGTGTGGGTGCTTTCAACACCTGTTGGTCTATACCGGTGTTGAGGGAGCTAGTGCCGCTAACTTTCTCGCATAACTCACTAATCTCACCATGCAGAGCCATGTAGAGGCGCTGGCAGCTCTATCTACCTAAGCCCAACCACTTGAGGTGGACGGTAGAGCGATGCTCTCGCTTCATGCAGGTCGGCGTTCAATCCCCCGACTGTCCACAAGTAGTTGGGCACCATTCCTTCCCGCCGTCCCATCCCAAATCCTTAATCCTGACCCCTTCCCAGTGCTATATAGTCGTAATGGCTTGGCGCTTTCCCCCCTGATAATTCCCTTCCCTTCTCTCTACCTAATGGCTGCCAGCTGGTGAATGCTTGCTTCCTCTACACTAGGCCTACTAGAGGCCTACTAGAAGCCTACTAGAGGCCTACAAGAAGCCTACTAGAGGCCTACTAGAAGCCTACTAGAGGCCTACTAGAAGCCTACTAGAGGCCTACTAGAAGCCTACTAGAGGCCTACTAGAAGCCTACTAGAGGCCTACTAGAAGCCTACTAGAGGCCTAATAGTTGCAGTGATCATACTTGGGATGAGTAGCTTCTAGTACTTAGTTAAGATAACTTACACACCATGTTATTTCTTGTTTAATTTTTCTGTATATTTGTTAATGTGTTTCTGATGAAAGGTAAGTTTATTCTGCATGTATATGTATACTACTTTTATTTGTCTTTAAGTTTTTTGGCATCATGTTAAGACGTGTGTCTTGTCTTCTTCCACAGATGTAAAGCTTCATTGTATTGTAATAGGTTTATTGTAGCAGCTGGGTGTACATTGTTGTACAGCTGGGTGTACATTATTGTAGCGGCTGGGTGTACATTGTTGTAGCAGCTGGGTGTACATTATTGTACAGCTGGATGTACATTATTGTAGCGGCTGGGTGTACATTGTTGTACAGCTGGGTGTACATTATTGTAGCAGCTGGGTGTACATTATTGTACAGCTGGGTGTACATTGTTGTAGCGGCTGGGTGTACATTACTGCAGCTGCTGGGTGTACATTATTGTAGCGTCTGGGTGTACATTATTGCAGCTGCTGGGTGTACATTGTTGTACAGCTGGGTGTACATTATTGCAGCTGCTGGGTGTACATTATTGCAGCTGCTGGGTGTACATTATTGCAGCAGCTGGGTGTACATTATTGCAGCAGCTGGGTGTACATTATTGCAGCAGCTGGGTGTACATTATTGTGTTGAGAGCAACACCGTGAGGGGGGGGTTGTTGTTGTCAATACTGCTTGTTGTCTCCATCTAAGAGCCGTTAGACTCTGGGAATTGGCACGTGTGTGTACTTAAGAGGGTGTTCAGGGTGAGTGTGTGTGTGTGTGTGTGTGTGTGTGTGTGTGTGTGTGTGTGTGTGTGTGTGTGTGTGTGTGTGTGTGTGTAGGAGATGAAGTCCTTTATGTGAGAGATGTGTGTACTTACCTAGTTGTCCTTGCGGGGGTTGAGCTTTGGCTCTTTGGTCCCGCCAAAGTGTGTGTGGAAGGGGGGGAAGGGGTTGGCACCGCCCACGCAATGTGATCCTTACTCTTGGCACATGACTGGAGTGCCAAGGTACTTGGAGTACTCCAGTAGACTGGAGTGCCAAGGTACTTGGAGTACTCCAGTAGACTGGAGTACCTTGTCAGGGACTGGAGTCTGCACTCCAACTTAGGCACACAAGTTTTACTGTAAATAAAAACAAGTTATTCATAAATGATTATTTAGCTGTATCGTGGGTTTTGTTTACAAATTTTGAGTCCATTTATCCACCGTGACACATGTACCGTGACACATGTACCGTGACACATGTACCGTGACACATGTACCGTGACACATGTACCGTGACACATGTACCGTGACACTTGTACCGTGACACATGTACCGTGACACATATACCGTGACACATGTATCGTGACACATGTACCGTGACACATGTACCGTGACACATGTACCGTGACACATGTACCGTGACACATGTACCGTGACACTTGTACCGTGACACATGTACCGTGACACATGTACCGTGACACATGTATCGTGACACATGTACCGTGACACATGTACCGTGACACTTGTACCGTGACACATATACCGTGACATATATACCGTGACACATATGCCGTGATACATATACCGTGACACATATACCGTGACATATATACCGTGACACATATACCGGGACATATACCATGACACATATACCGGAACACATACCAT